AACCAAAAAGTAAGCAAATAGGGTGACATCCTTAGGAGTTAGTTAAATTTTGAGGTCTGTAAAAGTTAAAAATCGCCAAAGTTTCCTTTGGCTTTTTGAGTCGAAAGCCATTTTGTGGCTTTGGAGTCCAACTCTCACTGAAAGCTAGCCCAACTTACTGCCACCAATGTGGACCAGACTCTGACAGCAGTCATACAGGGACCTTATAGCCCGTATCAAAGGGCCCTGACAGCCCGTATCAAAGGGCCCTGACAGCCCATATCAAAGGGCCCTGACAGCCCGTATCAAAGGGCCCTGACAGCCCATATCAAAGGGCCCTGACAGCCCGTATCAAAGGGACATGACAGCCCGTATCAAAGGGCCCATACAGCCCGTATCAAAGGGACCTGACAGCCTGTATCAAAGGGACCTGATAGCCCGTATCAAAGGGCCCTGACAGCCCATATAAAAGGGCCCTGACAGCCCGTATCAAAGGGCCCTGACAGCCTGTATCAAAGGGACCTGACAGCCCGTATCAAAGGGCCCTGACAGCCCGTATCAAAGGGCCCATACAGCCCGTATCAAAGGGCCCTGACAGCCCGTATCAAAGGGCCCTGACAGCCCGTATCAAAGGGCCCCTACAGCCTGTATCAAAGGGACCTGACAGCCCGTATCAAAGGGACCTGACAGCCCGTATCAAAGCGCCCTGACAGCCTGTATCAAAGGGCCCTGACAGCCTGTATCAAAGGGCCCTGACAGCCCATATCAAAGGGCCTGCTACCCCATACTCCTGAAGAACCCCCCACAGTGCTCCCCGAGGGACCCAGTAGAATGCTTTCTCCAAGTCCACAAAACACCGGTTGGGTGAACTGAGGAGAGCTGACCCATTGTTCCACAACCACCATGACAGGCTAAATAACTCAAATTCTTACAGTTAATTATTGACTGTGTATTTCCAAAAACGTTCCGCCATAATCTCCTTCTGCTTTTTGTGTATTTTCAATGATGTTTCACCACCCAAGCCCAGTTCCTACCTCGCCGGTCTTTTCAGTGATGTCATCCAAACGCAGCATGATGACCTTTCCTCTGGCTCCGATGAAGAGCAGACCGATGTCTTCTCTGACCAGCAGGGAGCTCAAACCATCAAAGTCGAGCTCCTCAAACAGCTTCAGGTTAACATCTGAGGGAAAGAATCCAACCGTTATCCTCAGGCTACTTTACAAATCAGACCATTTAGTTCTCTGCATTCTATTTAGAGATATCATAGTAAGAGGGGGTAGACGGCATCTTCATTCTACACTCGTATTATTTCTATCCATTTTATGCAGTGCTTTGAGTTGGTTTGTCATTCAAAGTCACAATAAAACCATCCATCCATCCATTTTCCGGTCATCCTTGTCCCTAACGGGGTCGGGAGGTGCTGGTGCCTCGCCAGCTGCGATCCAGGCGAGAGGCGGGGTCACCTGGACAGGTCGCCAGTCTGTCGCAAGGCAACACAGAGACAAACAGGACAAACAACCACGTACACGCACACTCACGTAAGGAGAATTTGGAAAGACCAATTAACCTGACAGTCATGTTTTTGGACTGTGGGAGGAAGCCGGAGAACCTGGAGAGAACCCACACATGCACAGGGAGAACATGCAAACTCCGTGCAGAAAGATCCCGGGCCGGGAATCGAACCAAGGACCTCCTTGCTGCAAGGCAACAGTGCTATCAACTACACCACTGTTCAGCCAACAATGAAACACTAGAGTTTTATTTGCGACCTGCCAAACTGATCAAAAGTCCACAGGATGTGAATACTTCTGCACTGGTCTGGACATTTCACTGCTGCTGCAGAGATGCCTCACCTGAAAAGGAAACGCTCCGGCGGGGTTTCAGGCTTTGGGCCCATCCTCCACTCATAATGATCAGGACATAAAGGAGCGCTACCTGACTCTTCATCATACCCTTAGACATGAAATGAAGTTACACATTTTATATAGCAGTTGTTCTGGAAACAGCAGTTATTTCCTGTCTTAGAGTTGGACATCACACCTTCTGATGGCTAGATGATGTCAGCTGAAGCTTCACAGAAACATGATTTATAAATTATGAAATATGAATATTTAGCAACTGTAAGTAATAGACAGCTTAAGTTAATGCACTTCACCATAACCCATGCAAGTCATGATTTGCATGCTTTTACTATTTATCATCACCAGGCGGAGCAAAGACACCCCAATTATCTCTGAAGTTGATTGCATATTTGCATAGATTTCAGAAGTGCATTATAGAAAGTGGTCGATGAAAACATAATTTTCTAAAATACAACGATATTTGTTTACTTACCTTTAACCGGTGGAAATGTAAAGGCAATCTACGTCTGATAACTACGAGAAACCAAAACATGTTTATTTTTAAAAGCATTCCAATGTTTAAAGGTGAAAATAAACTTCCTTAACTGACAGTTCTGTATTAACCGAATGTATCAAGATATGTTAACAGTAGCTCTCCCGACATAGTTTTAGGAGTAGAAACACAACATTGTACTGTTGTATTTCCCAGTGGAGCAGGAATCTTGTTTTTAATACCCACAAAGGTGGGGAAAAGTTGGGACAATTCCAAGGGCCCTTGACCGACAGGGGACCCCCCACAAAAAGTATATGAATTTTTAATTTTTTTTTTTTACAGAAACAAATGGGGGCCATGTCAATTACTGTTATTGTCATTTTTGAAATTGTGTTTAGCAATAAAACTTAAATGTCACCCCTCCCAGACCAAAAAGCACACATCCATATTTGCCCTGAACCCCCAGCAGTCAGAACAAGACCAGAACGACTGTGGCAGTTACTACACCGCCAAGAAAAATTATAATCAGGTATTCCAAAACTGGACATAAGAGAGAGAAAAAGACAAGAGTGTGAATTTATAACCCGTTTTTCTTCAAGGTGAGTAGACTGTGAGATCATCAACCATTCACCATAGAATGCTTAGCTAGAGACTGTTTGCCTCCATTTCACTAGCATTTAATGAATTAAGGAAAAGAAATACCAAGACATTCTTATATTTTACCTGTACCTTTACCTTTTACCACCTGACAGCAGGTGAGTCAGTCAGCAGCTGCTCTAACCCCGATACCAACATTAACCCCTCACCCCCACCCCAGTGATAAACAAACTGTATTCACTTATTGCAGCTTGAATAAAATGCAACTGCATGGTTTTTGTGAAGAAGTCTGGATTGCTTTATGTATATTTTGCATGTTGTCTGTGACTGCTGCTCGTGGAGAGAGACATTTCAGAAAGCTAAAACTAATAAAACATTTTAGCAACCGACTTGCGAACTGTATGTGAACTGTTGGATGTAAAATTCACAAGCAGTGAATATTGTACTATATCAGTATTGGACCAAAGAAAGCCAGGCTGTGACGCTTCATATGGAACAAATAGACTCAAGAAATTCTAACAGTAGTTGTGCAGGGGGCCCAGTTTAATTTTTTGCCAAGGTTCCTAGTGGTGGCCCTGAATAGCCTCACTGCTACTCAGATAAAGATATTGAGGCAGACTCACCAGTAGTTGGCGCTATAGTAGAAAATGTGGCTTTTTATGTATAACTCCAAAACGGTAAGCCCCATTAACAAAATTCATGTCTGCAAAGTTTCCTAGAAAGTTTCTCCAACTGATGACCACTGTCCAAAGGAGAGCACAGTAAAACTTAGCACGATATACACTGAATAAGAAATAAAACAAGTTATTGTGGCAGAGCTTTTTCCCAATTAGAATGTAACGGTTAAATAAACATTGTTACGTAGCTACAAAATTGAACTGCCCATAATTTTCAAATTGTGAAAAATTCCACAAATTCCTTAGCACCGTCAACTACAAACACAAGGCTAACAATGTCCAGCTAGTTTTTGTCAACGTCCCCCACTAGATGGTGCTATAAAATTGCACAATTTGTTACCCAAAAAACAGTGATTGTTATTGCGACAAATTTTGCACTACACAGTCTTACTCTATTTATTCAGGGTAACCTTATTTCCATATTAGTGAAATATGCTTCATCTCACTACTGAAGTAAATCAGACATTCTTCATTCTTCAAAGTTTGATAAGAATCTGTGCTTCTTTGTTTGAATGATACCAAATTAAACTTTTACAATGAGTGCACTTGATGTTTAATGTTGTTTTGTATTTAACAGAGCAGCATGAAAAAAGAAGAGAAGAGAGGAAATTTTAGTGATCTTTATGATCATGGAGGCAGGAGAATCATCCTTCCTCCATGGTGTAGTCATTTTATTTAGATTAAGCCTAATACACTTTAATCTGGGCCAGCAAAAGCTCTCAAATGTCAGCCAAATTATGCTACATTTGAGCTCAATGTGTGTTTAAACACATATCTATAAACATTAATGTTTTTTTTCTACATGTAGTTGATAGTGGCTCACCAACACACATTCACAATTGATTTTTAAAATACATATCCTAAAATAATGCATAAATGTGAATATTATCAACGTTCAACAACTTATCCTAAAATAATGCATAAATGTGAATATTATCAATGCTCAACAACTTTTGACATGCTTTATTGTCATAGTTAACCATTGTCTGACTTTTATCTACATGGCTTTCCAAGTTGAATTGATAAATCAGGTTAAGAAATATTGCCATTCTGCAGATTCTTTAACCACTGAAGCCTATTTTTAAATACATTTTAATGGGAAAATTAGCATCTTAAAAATCAAAAAAATTGACAAAACAGTTTCAATGGACACTTCATCATTCATAGCAAAGGAGAAAAAATCTACCACTACAAGCATTTGTGTAGAACAGTTTACAGACAAGCATGTTCTTTAGATCTAAAGGGCAAAATGTTGCTCTGTTGTTCTTTCGCAAATGGCTTTTAGTCTGAAAACTGTAGTTAACAATTAATCAATTACTAAATGAAGTCATGATTATTTCAATAATTGATTTATCTAATTAATCAATTTAACCCAAGATACAAGCAAAGATACCACACTTTAATATTTTCGTCATTTATTTTTACAGAGTTGATGGCAGTGATGCAAAGTAGGTTGTTCTGTTGTCCAACTATAAATCTGTTTTAAACAGTAGATTTTGTCCTCTTTTCCTCCCAGTTGATTTGGTTTTATCAGTACCAGAACCAGAACTATTGTCCTGGTTTTTGGGACCAGAATTCCCACAGTGGCAGGGCTCTGTCTTCAACTCTGGTTGTAGTGGTATCATCACTCTCACTGCTACAGTGGTATCATCACTCTTACTGCTACTGCCAGTGAGATCAGTGGTATCATCACTCTCACTGCTACTGCCGACAAGGTTTCGAGCTTTCTGCTTCCAGCACACGTAGATGATGAACATTACACACAACACACAAACACAAGCTAAAATGTAAATAATTATAGCCTGAAACCAGTTTCCCCCACCCTCTGAAACCTTAATGTTGTACAAGATCACCGCCATCCTGTGCTCTCTGCCTTTAACTACTTCCACTGTCTCACAGGTGTAAAGGCCTTCATCAGTGAAGGAAGGTGTTAAAACGAGTCCCTGGCTGAGCAGAATGTGTCGGGGACCGGGCTCAAGGATGTTACCAGAGAAGCTCCAGCTGATGGGGAGATTGGTGTCAGGGGAGCAGGGGAGGAACTGTGCCACGTCAACTGTGGTGTGGATGTCGATAATCTTTGACCCTGTGGGAGAAGCCAAAGCAGCCATAAAAATTCTCCTACTACTCTCCTCACTAAGGTAAAGGTGTGTAAAGAGCTTTATGTGGGGAATACTTGCAATGAGAGTTTGGGCAGATTCCAACATCACCATCAGTGAGGTTCTGGATCCTGCAACAAATGAATTCAATCCTCTGATTATAAATGTAGCACACAGTGAACATGTCTTAGTTAGTGTGTGACATACATGGAGAGGTTTGAAGCACCAGCAACAGCAGCACACAGGCCTCTGAGACGATCCCAGCCACAGTATGGATCTCTGGCTGTAAGGCAGTCGGCACAGGATGTGTAGCGGCTGCAGTCCCTCACACTGAGCTGAGCAACAGCAGTTCTAGTTGCACTGTACAGCTGACCCTGCAGATCATCAGAGTTCAAAGGTTAGCTCCAGGTCCATTTAGTCTACAGACATGTAGCTGTAACCTACACTTCTAGAGGAGAGCTGAAGGAAGCGAATGGGCTGAGGATCCTGAAACAGCTGCAACTCCTCAATGATTCGCCCTCCATCATCACCAGACCACACCGCCTTCTGCAGCCAACCAGAGTCTGAAGGACAGAAACAGAGGTTAACTCTGGTTTCTACAGGGTAACATGTGTAAAGTTACAAAGAATGCTGACAAAAATGTTTTGGTTTATTTAGCAAGTCAGAGAAAAAAAAAGTGGATGTTAATTTTTCAAAGTCAATTTGAATGTTTGGTTAGCAACCTAAATCTTTACGACAAAGCTACATATTTATATCCCCAAAAATATTTAGTTCTAAAATTAGGTCCTTAGTTTGAAAATAAAATAGTTTGTTTGAAAATTGGACATTAGTTTGGAAAATCAATAATTACTTTATACCTGTTGAGTTGAGACTTTTTTGTCCCCAATGGGGAATTTGTTTTCCACAAACCAGGCCCTGGACTTCTATCTTCAGGTAGACAAGAACAACAAATAATTCGCTAGACAATTACCTAAAGCATGAGACAAAACAGTGGAGGCCATTGTTTAGGGCGGTTTTAACTGTGGGTCCTCCTGCAGCACAATGTCCTGCATCTGCACCAAAGGAGCACCAGTAAGGGTAAGTGTTCCTATAGTGGAGCGCGAGGACTTTTATGGTCCTGGATTGTTTTGAGTTTCAGGGCTTGATTTATTCTATCTTCATTATTACTTTATGTTCCATAGTCTCTTTCTTTGATCAGATCAGCCATGCTTCTGCTATTTTAGTTTAGTCAGCCTTCTATTTCCTGAAGAATATCTCCAGGATTAGAGGTCTGATGTGTCTGTAAGATCTAGAGAAACTCATCCATGAGTTTATCTTCAGTCACATTGATTACTGCAGCAGCTTCTTCACGGGTCTGCCTATCAAATCCTCCAACTGCAACTGATCCAGAAAGCTGCTGCTAGTGTTCTGACTAAAACAAGAAAGATAGAGCACTTCGCCCAGTTCTAAAGTCCCTACACTGAGAACAGACTTAAAATGACTGTTGCTAGTTTATAAATAACTCAACAGCTCGGCAGCACAAATCATTAAAGATCTGCTGAGGTTTATCAGCCTTTCAGAGCCCTCAGGTTTTTGGATCTGGTTTGCTCTGAATCCCCAGAACCAGAACCAAATGAGGAGAAGCAGCATTCAGCTCATATGCACCACAAATCTGGAACAAACTTCCAGACTATTGCAACATAGCTGAAACACTGAGCTCAAATAAAATTGGACTGATTGATTGAAAAATGATCCTGATTTGATGTGACAATCCTATGTCACTTTGTGACATTGCCATCATGTGTCAATGTAACCAACGTGTTTAATAGTAGTTTATTAAATGTTTAGTAAATGTATAACAAATTAGATATTTACTTTGTAAGCTAAATATTTACTTGGAGAAGTAAATATTTTTCATGTAAATTATATATCTGGTTTGGAACTATTACTTTTTCCCCCAACATTATTCTTATTGGTTTTTCAACAATGTTTGTATTAATATACAGGACATACGTGTGCTCTCACATCAAAGGGAAAGTCCAGGGTAGTTAAATTATTGTCTTTCCTTGTAAGCCAGGTCATTATGAGATATTTTAGAGCAGCACTTATTACATACAGAGTGTATGAGAAAAGAAAAACAATGCCCTCAAGTCCCTGAGCAGAAACAATTACAACGGTAACAGTTTCTCTATTTTCCAGGAATTAGCCCAAATTATTCAAGTATTGTACGTGGTTCTGAAAATACAAACTCGAATGTATAATTTAAAGTAAAGCAGTCAAGTATACAAACAAAGACGATTATCTCAGGAAACAGCAGTGGATCAACTATCACTCACCTCGACACACTCATGTCCATGTTTTCTATATATTCCATAAAAGGACACCAAATATTTTGAAATGGCAAAAGTTTCCCTTTTATAATGAAAGTAACCTTTTCCATTGGTAATATTTTGGTTTACTGGTACTCTGCTATGACTCTTTTTGCAACATAAATCCATGGCAGTAATAATCTTTTTGGACATATGATGTCTGTTAGGACATCATATTCTGGATTAGAGGTCTTATGTGTCGGCAAGATCTAGAGAAACTCATCCATGCATTTATCTTGGATGAACAATTTGGGGTCAAAAACTAGTTTTATACCCTTTATAGTCTCTTGAGCTTGTTTAATCTCCCTCCAGAATTGTTGAACTTTCTTACATTTCCAGATGCAATGGAAGAACGTTCCCTTCTCTTCTTCACATCTAATACACAGGTCTGGGATGGCTTCATTGTACTTATTAAGCTTTTCTGGCATCACATATGTTCTCATTGGCCAATTATATTGCGGTATTTTGAGGCGTGTTTTGGTAGTTTGTGTTTGTGCATCAGCACACGCCTTCTCCTAGACCTCTGAAGGCAATTTCTCCTGGAAATCCTCCCTCCAGGCATTGAGGTTCCATAAAGAAGACTCAGAGGATGCCTCCACTAACATGTTGTATAGTTTGGAGAGAATTCCCTTTCTAAAGCAATCATTCATTTTGACAGCAGAGGGATGGATTCAAACTAATTATGAAATGATCTAATAAAATTTCTCACCTATAGATATTTAAAATAACGTTTAGTTTGCCTCCTGACTAGACAACAGGTGAATTTCCTAAAATAACAAAATATCGTAATGCATAGATTTCACCCTAGTCATGACCTGTTTAAATTTTTTCAGTTTTTGTAATCTCCAGCAGTTCCACAAAGACATTTTAATTCTTAAACCATAAGACATACTGTGGCTTCCTAGTATTTTCAAATCAGGACACACTCATTATACAGGGTGCCCACTGTAACCACTGCATACATAACACCATAAAATTTAGAAATATAGAAATTAATTAACAGAGTGGAAATATAACTTCAAAAAATTAACAACCATTTTTTCCTCTATGACAATTTGTCCAAAATATTGCTATTAGGTATTTACTGTTACATTCACAGTAAAACTGAATGTTGTTTTTGCCTGTTCATTGGTCAATACAGCCAATCTGTTAAGTCATTATATATGATCCAGTTACTTACTGTTGCTGATAAACATGACGTTGTGCTGCTGTCCATCCAGAGACGTTACTTTGTCAACAACAATTCTGGAGAACTGGGCCGCAGACCGGACCAGCAGGGGCCTCCCAGTGATTGGTTTCACTGCTCCCTCCATCAGAGGGTGGTGCTTTGCAAACCGATGGACGATGTCTTCGAAGTCCCGAGAAGTCCTTATATTACTTTGTCGCATTTCATCATTAATACACTGATAATACAGATCAGAGATCATGTGAGACTGATAATTTTCTTGACTACCATCTTATATTGTTCTGATCTTGGCGCTTACTGATTGAGGATAGGGGGACCTAAATTCTCCTGTGTACTTCTGCCAGTGGCCAGAACTAGTAGTAGCCATATAGTTTCCCTTGAAAACTTGACGGATGTCTGACAGCTTGTAGGCGCAGACAGCAGTCTGATTGCAGGTACTGGATGGCTCCCTGCAAATTTAGAATCATACTTCTGAAAATGAAACATAACAGCACCAACCCCAAACAACTGTCACAAATGGTGCAGGATTTTTCCCAGTATATTATAAGCCTGGCGGGCTGCTAGGCTTTATTTCTCCCACACCCAACTGCCAGGCTTGGCATCGTTTGTTTCCGTTTTTATTTTAAAAATTCTTATTTTCATTTTTAAAAAATAAGACAGATGGCAAACATCTCTGCTGCACTGAGCATTTTACCACCAGGGCAGAATTATTCCTGAAAGAAAGATGGGTATTGTTTTTTATAGTGTTATTAGTTGATGCATTGGACAGGGAGCGCAGACCATCACACCAGCGGCGCTTCTGCATGTTTACCACCTTGCACACCGTCACTGCTTGAAGTCTTAAGTTTACCTTGGGATGGATTGCACATGCCTGCTTTCACTCAAACTGGAGACTGGTTCATCTTAATGGACATTTACATCAACCCCATGTGAGGATGAGGATCCATGTTTCTTTGGGGAATTTATTAAGGTAGGAATCAAGTTCAAATTTACCGCATGCTCAATGTGAACCGCAAATGTTCACTTTGAGTGTTGCTCAGTGTTCACAGGTGCGTCTTTAGAGGTGCAAGTTGAGCATGCAGTCAGAATGATAATTCTTTGCCTTGTAGATGTGCAGTATGCTGGTTTATTTTTATTTTTTGTGGTGACACAATCCCTTTTTGTCCCTCTACACCCAGCTGCAGAAATGAGCTGTGCAGTGGATTTAGCTCGTCATGCAGGGTCGGTCCAAGGCTGAAGGAGCCCTTCAGCAGAATCTAACTTAGTGGCCCCTCAGGACCTCTAACAGCATTTCAACATGGATTTAGTAAAGTCTGGGTTTAGTTGGCAAAGTGTAAAAGCAGTCAGTGATAATTGTAGATAACTCATTTGTATTTGTGAACAAACAGCTAAAACTCAAAGATTAAACTCACATCATCAGACTGTTGCTTTGCTAACAAAACAATCCAACTATGAACATTGTTCCTTGAATTTTTACAAAGTAAACTTGTCAGCTCCTTAAAATCATAAACTTGAATGTAAAACACTTTAGAAATTCTAATTAATCTATGCTGAAACCATTAAATCTAATTTAACTGCATTGATATTCTCTAAGTTTGTTTATGCCTTGGGCCAGCTCTGAAAGTGATCAGCATCGCATTGTGTTTTTAGATCCACTAACTGATTACTTAATTAGGATTTGACAGAAGTGCAAATAATTGATATTTCTATTAATTGTATTTTTGTCATTGTTTTTACAACTGTATTTGCAGGAGTCAGTATTTTTGGGAGTGTTTTCCAGTAACACAATTACCCAGTAATATTTTAATTTCCTGTTAACTCATTATCTTTAGGTACAAAAACATGATGGCTTGCCCCCCCACCGGGATTAGCCAGACTTCTCAGGAAACCCCGATGGCGAGTTCAGCTTTCAGAGATTTTTCTGTAAAACAAAACTCCAACCTATTTATGCAAATTGCTCATTGATAAATCTATGGTGAAGAATATCTAGTGTTTGAAAGAAAATGCATTTTGTTAAGTTGAAATATGGAGGTATAATGTTACTTGACACGTTACTGGCTGCCATTTTCAAAGTAGCCAATTTGGGATCTGCTGCATAAATATTATAAATTCAAATGTGAGTTCATCTGTTCAACATCTAAAGTGTGATCATGGATCTCAAACACAGCAGTAAGACTGCTACACATTGGGAGAGAAAAGAGTCACTCTGTGGCAATGGCCTAGTCAAAGTCCATATGTCAATATGGACTTTGACTGACTGAAAATTATGTGGCGCATCTTTAGGAGAGTTGAGAAAAAAAACTTCAATGAACTACAGCAACAGTTTTCATAACATAAGCTAAACCACTGCTGAGTATTGTTGCTGCTGAGGAAGGTTCTGCTGCTGCTGGATCATAGGCTCTGCTTAGTACCTTCCACACAACTTATGTTTTAAAGAAATGTCTGTGTTCCCAGTTGGTTGAAAAAGTTAAACGAGCCGAACCTCATCATGCAGGTTCGGCTCAATGAGGAGCTTTGGTGCTGGCTTTATATTTCCTTATTATTTTTAATCTTGTTTTTCCAGTTACATGAAGCATCAAACCAGATCAAACGTTTTGTCCACTTAGACGGAGTCAATGCGCGCAGAGATCAGAGAAACTCCAGCAATTCAATCAGTTTCTGTGACTCTTATTAAAAAGTCAACAGACAGAAATATTAGAGCTGCTAAAGCCACATTAGCAGGTTTAAATGAAATTTCCGTTTCTTGCTCATCTCTGCAGTGAAGCAGATTGAACTCATCCTGCAGGGCCGGTCCAAGGCTGCATGAGGCCCGGGGCAGAACCTGACCTGCGGGCCCCTCTTGCTGCTAAACCATCAGAACCTCTAACAGCTTCTGTTGCATTTAATCTGAGAGATTATAGTAGATTAACATAAAAACTATTTTGTTTTTGTGAACAAAGAGATCAAACTCAAAGATTAAATTTACAGCATCAGATTGTTGCTATGGTACAATAATCTAACTTTGAAGATTGTTCTTTGAACTTTTACAAAGTAAACTTGCCAGCTCCTTAAAAGCTGACATGTAAATGTTGATTTAAAATATTTGAATTGATGCTGGAACCATTCGATCAAATTACCACCATTGATCATCTCAATAAATAAATGTTACATTTATGTATCTGTGGTCTGTATTAAAATATTAGCATTTATGGCCCCTGGGGGCCCAATGGAGCCGCTGACTTCATTTGGATTGAACAGAAGTGCAAATAATTGATATTTATTTTAATTGTATTTTTTGATTTGTTGTTTATAAAACTAGTTGTGGGTTTAAATATTGTTTCACTGACCATGTCTTCCCATATAATTACCCAGTAATATTTTTACTTTTCCTGTCAACGTAACATGTTGTAATACAAAAACACGGTGGACGCCTCGGTGCCCCGACCACCCGGCTGAGCAGGTTTACTGGGGAATCCAGTAAACCTGAGTTTACCTCAGAAACTCAGTACTACTTCAGGAACGAACATCCAAGGTCTTTTTGGTCTTCATTGTCGGAGTTCAGCTAATCAGCATCAAGTAAAGATAATAGCACTCCTTGATTGGGTGCCGTGTAAACACCAGTCTCTATATTGTTAAGTAGCATAGCTCTAAGGTATGTCAGCTTCATCCATCCATCCATCCTCCGGTCACCCTTCTCCCTAACTGGGTCAGGAGGTGCTGGTGCCTCTCCAGCTGCGTTCCAGGCGAGAGGCGGGGTCAGCCTGGACAGGTCGCCAGTCTGTCGCAGGGTATGTCAGCTTTTCTAAGAAAATTAATCTTGGTTCATAAGTGTCCTTTATGAAATAATCCCTGAACAGGCAAATTTTCCAAATATTTTGGAGATACCAGAGAAAAGGCCGGAGTGTTTCTACCCTAACATCCTTAACATGGCAGTTGATCAATAGGACTCAATTAATTTTATAAAAAGCACAATCATAAAGCTGCAGATGAAGAAGTTAATAAAATTGGAACTCTTTGCACGTTGAAACCTGAGGAGACATGACTTACGTGTTTAAGGTGAATGTTGCGTAGAAGATACTGTTCATCAAATTATTTTCATCTCGTAGAAAAAAGATGTCCTGCAGCAGAGAGGGAGACCCTATGTCTCCGAACGGGCAGTCCACACTGACTTCCAGGTAAGAGGTCCACTTATTCCGCAGTATGCTCCTTCCTCCAATGTCACTCTGAATCGACATAAATGTCGCACCTTATTATTGGTTCATGTAGTGATTAAAGGGAGCTTAGGTAAGGAAAGGTAGGTAAGGTATTTTTACTTATATAGGACATTTTCAGAAACAAGGCAATTCAAAGTGACTTACATGAATTAAATGGAAATACAAAACAAGAAACCAAAGGAAAGAGCAAAAGAAGAAAAAAGAAAACAAAAAAGTGTAACCCTATGTTTTGAATAAGTAATCCATGATTTATAAACTAATAGGAGTTTCTCTGGATTCTAAGCCTGTTCTAATTCCTGCTCTGGACTGAGTGAAATCCTCTGGATCTTTTTGTTCCTGTTCTGGGATTAGTGAATATATAAACCAGGGGTCTCAAACTCCAGTCCTTGGGGGCTGCAGTCTTGCAACTTTTATATGTGGCTCTGCTGCACCACACCTGAATAGAATAATTAGGTCATTAGCAAGTCTCTGAAGAACTGATCTACAGAAGATAAGATCTCCAGGAATTAAGCCAATTCAGTCCAGAGTTTTGTACCTGTGGCACATCTAAAAACTGCAGTACTGCGGCCCTCAAGGACTGGAGTTTGAGACCCCTGATATAAACAAAATGCTCCTTGCATATGTACTCCATAATTTATTAGCATGAAGGAGTTTCTCTGGATGATAAGATAAATATTTGTCTAAAGCAGGGGTCACCAACCTTTTTGAGATTGGGAGCTGCTTCACGGGAACAGAGTAACATGAAGGGCTACTTGTTTGATACAGATCAGCCTTTATATCAATAGTACATATATGTATAAATATGATTACAAGCTGCCTGGTCATATTAATGTTATGGACTACTGACAGTTGTTATCAAGGTTAATCTTCTTTACTATTAACAAAATTGTGAAGAGAAGAAAAAGATATTTTGTGCCAAAACATCTTTTATGTAGTGCACAGACTCACACACAGACTCACACTGATGTGCACTACGCACATCAGCGTGAGTCTGTGAGGGTCAAAGGGCACGCCAAAGCCTAAATCTTATTCGTCAGTTTGCTTTTCCTGTGAACTAAAAATGAATGAGTGGAGTTTGAACGTCCCATAGTTCTTAGAGCGGTCTTTTGGATCCCGGCAGAGCTTTTCATAGTGCGCGGTTCTGGTGGGTCGCCGGTTTATTACCTTTTTTGTGGTTTCGCAAACTTAAAAGCTGATGGGTCAACCACTGGATGACACTAGCAGAAGTTGAAAAAAATGTCTGACAGATCGGAAGGTCTGCACTGAACTGTCACTGCACCTGACCTGCAGGAGCACAATCACCTCTCCAACACGCATCATGTCGCACAAAACCAGCACAAACCTGAACCATTAAAGCAGCACATCCCTTTTTTTCTCTTTTTTTTTATTATTGTTATTTTTAATTTACACAAACGATGCAAAATACTACAAACATGGAAGTGATCCACGGAAAGAGGAGGATGTTTATTCCCAGATTAAGGTGGTGTTCAAAGGAGAAGGTGAAGCAACAATGTTTGCTTAATTTTTACTCTCTTGGGGAACGTTTCGACCAGATTAAATTGTTTAACCCAGTAGTCTCAGGAAGAGAGGCAGATGTCCGCTAACTGGACCCGCCAGCTCTCCAGTTTGGGAAACATCAAAGAAGCTCATAAACCGGCGACCTGCCAGAACCGCAGAAAGCTCTGCCAGGATCCAAAAGACCGCTCAAAAAACTATGGGACGTTCAAACTCCGCTCATTCATTTTTAGTTTACAGAAAAAGTGGCAAGTCGTCACAAACAAACACAAACTGACCAATAAGATTTAAGCTTTGGCTTACCCACACCCACAGACTCACTCTCAGATTTTTTTCCCCCCTCAATTTTGTTAATTGTAAAGAAGGTTTGATAATAAAAATTTCAGAACTTATTTTCTTTTTTTATTTTATGGAAAATCTTAAGGTAGGCTGAGCGGGTGCAGCCATACAGCTGCAGGTGCTGCTGCCCTTCGATAACGTCCTGCAGGCGTCTGCGCATAGTTCTGAACTTTAACCGTAGAAGAGTTTTATGTATAAAGCAATTTATTTTAAACATTTTTTATAGTTTACTTTCCTTAAAAATTCTAATAACATATTAACAAATGTTATTACTTCAGTGTAAAAACAATAAATTAAATAATTTCTTTGGCATTTTTGGAACTTGCTCTGCGGGCGACTGACAGTATCATAGGGAAAGAGCAGCTAGTTTACATAAACTCCAGGAGATTTGAGCTAGGCAGCAAGCCAAGGTCTACACAAGGGAGGCAGATTCAGAATAAACAAATTTTCTTTAGATCAGGCAGATTTAAATTTTCCATCTCCCCTTGAGCCTTAACTGGTACATCTCTGTTAATTTGTTTCCAACGGGCCAAAAACTTGCAAATTCTCCAAGATCCAACTAAATCCAGGATGTGCAGTCTGGGTGGACTCTCCTGTGCCCAGTATTCTCGTTGAGAAAATTTGATCAATTGCATTGAGAGACCAACTAAACACAATTTTTAGATTTGGAGGATGTGCAAAGAGAGGATCCAAAACAACAGCAAAAACAGAGGATGAGAATAGTTTGGGAGGCGTCCGCCTTCACCAAGAGCTAGAGAAAAAAAGGTTTAGCATTCAGACGTACTTTACACACTCGTGCAACTCTCGACACCTGCAGTTGGCGTGGATCTTCAAAACTGTTCTCAATGAAGAACAAGATCACATTGTCGTCCTCATGGTCCTCTGAACTTTTGCTTAGCTCAGCCAGGTGAATGGAAATCATGTTGGGTTCTGAGTTCAGACAAAATAAAAAGTGAAGTGAGGTTTGACAAGAATATATATTTTAACTGGGTCGAGTGGCCACCTCACTGGAGGACAAAAATAGTTCCTCTTCATTCTTCATCGAATTTTCCCCATGTCTTTGGAATAAAACTTTTTGTCCGTGGGGTTTTGTGGAGGCAGCGGTATATAAGTCAGATCCTATTGACAGAAGAGGAAAATGTTTTACAATTTTTAAACTAATTACAAAAACAATCCATCATGGATGGGATCCACTCAAACCAATAACCTTCTTGTACAGCTTTTCAGTACTGGAGAAAAAATGTTAAAATCTTAAACTGGATGTTGTGAAAATGTTTTCTGATATATACATATATAATGTTTCATTTAGGGCAGTGCACATTAATCAATATTACCACAATTCGTGACAGTGTAAATATGCAGGAAATCGTACAACAGTTCAGTTTCATATTTTGTTCTAAGACAAGCAAGCACAGAAATAAAACACCTTACCATGAAGTTCACTGGACAGAAGACAATAACAGCACAAGACATTATGAATGAATATAAACACGTTTATGTTCAACCAATGCTTCCGATTCCTTCTTAAAAATTGTGTAGTTTTCACTGTCTGATATAGGCTGAACTGTGTTCTGTGCCTCAGCATGTTGCAGTCTCCTTTGGTTTGTCCTCTGTTTTTTATTTTATTATGCCTTTTCTGAATGAAATCAACTGATGGTGGTGGGGCAAGCCCATTCATAACTAAAAATAATACAGATTTCATGATATATTTGACAAGAATCAAGGTCTAAAACATTAAGCTTGTTAATAATTTTGCAATAATGAAAGTGGAACAATTTCTTGTCACAGGTTTTCATTGTCCTCTTGAAGAGAGATAGAATGGGTTTTACTATACTTGCAGTTGCATATGACCAGGTTGCATAGCAGTTTTTTTTATATGAAAATAAAAATAATTGCAGAATGGGTGGATGGATTTGAGTCAACAATGACTTCAAGATATTTACATTTGACAACCAGATCAAGTCTCTCTCCATTAACAATAATACTGGCCATCTGTGGACAAAAGGGAAAAACAAGCAGCAGGTACAAGCAGCTGCATATTCTTTCTTTGTTCTGACATGAACAGATAACACTATCGTTTGCATATAACTATAGTTTTACATGCAAAAAAAGTCTGTTAGGTCAATAATGTAAAGACTGAATAGTATGGGCCCAAAATGGAACTTTAAGGCACTGCAGCAGAACAATTAAGGTATGTGAAGTTTTTTCTCCAATATATATATGGTTTGAATTCTTTTTGATTGGCATGAGAGAACAGCATTTGAGAAATTAAAACGAGACAGTTTTCCCAGTAATGGTGGTTAATGGTGTTGTTTCAAATGTAAAAATATGGTCCTGACATTACCACCTTTGTATTCATTATTTCTTCCAGCTGTTATATGAACATTTCCTATGTACTTTTGAGTGTATGAAATAAAAAATAAAATAAAATGTGAAAACAAATTATTGCTGCTAATTATTGATCAACTTTACAAATGGTATACATAAATAGGGCCATAAACTTGTGGTGAACTACTAAACAGCTTGAATTTAAAAGTTACTTTGAGTATCTAATAGACTCCATTTGTTTTGTGTCTTGCTCCTGTTTCCTCTGTTTTTCAACCGTTATCATCCAGCAGCCCAAAACTGCTAACGTTTTTTCTATTTTGAAGGCCTTGAAGTATCAAGAAGAAACAGATCTCTGAGAAGGAGAAGCAGTGCAGGTTCACTGGTTGATGTTGTATGTAGATCGGAGTAAATGTACAATCATAGAGACGTAGGAGAACAACTAAACATTTCATATGATGAAGTTTTTCAATGTACACCTGCTGTTTGGTCAAGAACTTAAGAAATAATGAATAGAGAATGAAACACCGAGATACTGAGCGAAGCGTCTTTAAGGCTGAGAAGAGAAGTTTTGCACCAACCATCCAACATTGAGGCAAATTTTTCTTCAGGGTTTGAGGGAACTTTCCATCTGCCTTTGTCATTTATGTTTTCCATGGTGACATTTCCTTTGTAGACCATCTGAAGAAACATTGAAGAATTTATAATTTAGAAATGATGTCACATACTCTTCCATGCATCAGTTTTAATTCTGACGGTAAAATGAGAAAACAATGCAAAACTCTAATATCATAGTGATCCATGTTTTTACATAATTTCTTGTTTCATTGCAATAAACAAAATTCCTCTGACACAGTAAATCCCCAGCCAGTGGGTTTGGTACTACAGAACAACTCCAGCCTTAGTTATGGGAGGAACGTACCAGGAGTGTGCAGTTAGGGTCGAATGCTTTGGTTCCACAAACCAGAATTTTGCCATCAACCCGAGTGTGCATCATCGTGATGTAGTTGTCACAATGCTGTTAGAAGAACAGCTATTTCTATAAACATACTGTTTTAATTTAAAGCGAATAATATATCATTTCTTTATTTTGATGTACTGTAGTGTACCTCGATGCTTCCGCCTTTCATCTTGCACTTTGATTTGTCTTCAGAACTCACCGTCCATTCAGTCTGACGGAAAATAAACCAACAGACCATGTGTTCATGTGGAGATGTTTTTGAAATTCCTTCATGTCTTTTTAATATGAAAGCTCAAACATATATCCGATTGGTGCCATTTGTAAAGTTACACAGCCACAAAAGAACAAAAATTATAATAGTTATTCAGTTAATAATAAAAGAAAATAAATGCGTTCATTTTATGAAGTGATAGCTTGAAACTAAATATTCATAGGTAGCGTACTGCAAATTCTATGTAGATATATTTATTTATGTGTATCCCAACATGTATTTTGCAAATTAAATGTTTTAGCTAGCTCAGAGCTAAATATATTTAATGTGAAATTATTTAGTTTTGAGCTCAATATTTAGTTAATAATTAATCTTTAGTAATTAAGCTTCAATCTAGATAGTCAGTTAGCAAGCTAAATATTTGTCTTCAACCTAAACATTTAACTTCAAATTAAATATTTTTAAACTAAATACATTTATCTCTGAGCAAACTAAATATGTAGTTGGTATATTTTACACCTACCTTTCTCTGAGCTAAATTCACAGCTTGGTCCTAAATATTTAACTAAATTTTATGATTTCGTTTTTAGATTAATATGTAGATAGGAGCTACATATTAAGTTGGTAAACTAAATATTATGTGCATTGTTCAGGTTCGCAAACCCGTTCCACCCAAGCCCAGTTCCTACCTCGCCGGTCTTTTCAGTGATGTCATCCAAACGGAGCATGATGACTTTTCCTCTGGCTCCGATGAAGAGCAGACCGATGTCTTCTCTCACCAACAGGGAGCTCAAACTGTCAAAGTCAGGCTCTTTAAACAGCTTCAGGTTAACATCTGGGGGAAAGAATCCAACCGGCATCCTCAGGCTACTTTACAAATCAGACCATTTAGTTCTCTGCATTTCATTTAGAGATATTAGAGTAAGAGGGGGGAGACAGAATCGTCATCCATTTAATGCACTGCTTTGTGTTGGTTTGTCACTAGTTTGTGTTTGCAACATGTCAAAATGAGGAAAGGTCCACAGGATGTGAATACTGCTGCACTGGTCTGGACATTTCACTGCTGCTGCAGAGATGCCTCACCTGAGAAGAAAACGCTCCGGCGGGGTTTCAGGCTTTGGGCCAATCCTCCACTCATAATGATCAGGACATAAAGGAGCGCTACCTGACTCTTCATCATACCCTTAAACATGAAATGAAGAAAAACACATTTTATATAGCAGTTGTTATGGAAACAGCAGTTTATTTCCTGGTTAATCATTAAATGCCCCATAATGTTTATGTGGAACTGCAACTGATATAACTATTTGAAGTTGTAAATTCTGAAATGTGAATCCTTAGCATCTGTAAGTGTCAGACAGCTTAGCTTAATGCACTTCACCATAATACATGCAAGTCATGATTTGCATACTTTTGCCATTTTATACCACAAGAGGAGCAAAGACACCAAAATCATCTCTGCAGTAAATTGAAATATGAGAAACTAATGAATTATTCACAAAAAGTTTCTCATATCAGAACATATTTTGTTTTTTGCTTAGACTTAAGCTGTTTATGTTTACAAATAAAAAATAAAAGTTTTAAGCATATATGTTTAAGAAATGCATGATTAATTACATTTAAATAAAACATTTATTTTTCCAAAATAAAACAAATTGATCACTTACCTGTTAGAGGTGGTTATATGAAGACAATTTACTTCTTATAACTATGAGAAACCAAAACATGTTTATTTTTAAAAGCATTCCAATGTTTAAAGGTTGTAACTTATGTAACTGAAAGTTCTTTATTAACTGAAGGTATTAAGAGTATTTTTTTCTAATGTGCTATTTATTGAATTCAACTAAATCTCAGTTCCCAAATATCCAAATTAATTTGGTTGAACCAAAACTAGAAACTTCTCCAAGACCGATCCAATCCCATTCGTGAGTTTTAGATTCCTTACCTGGGTTGTGAGTCTCAGCAAGTATCACGTCCAACTTATGTTTCTGTCCTCACAAACAGTTGGAGTGTTTCGCTACAAATTTGGCGATACCCCAAGGATCCGCAAGCTATAGATAGCAGAAATCCTCTTATGAATAATTCCAGGGTGAATCCTGCTTGGTGTGTCCCCGCAGGACAAGAGGGCTCTCCTGTGCCCAGTCGAGAAAATGTAATCAATTGCACTAAGAGACTGGTTGACCAGATCCATAATTTGTAGGTTTGGAGGATGTGTAAAGAAAGGCTCCAAAAATATAGAAAAGGACAAAAACAGAGCAGGCAGGGCAGGGCAGGGAGGGAGCAAAAGCAAATGCCTTCACAGAGAGCAAGAGAGGAAAAGGTGTGAAAATTCTTTGTTAATGCTTGTCACACATCCTTTTTGCACCTCTGTCTTTGGGTTTGCCAACATCAATCAATCAGTCAATCAATCAATCAATCGATTGTTTGTATAGTACATTTCAGCAACAAATCAGTTCAAAGTGCATGATGTCAGAAAAACAAAAATACAAAATCATGAAAAAAAATCACATTTCAGTCATTTAAAATCTCTTCTACAGTCCTACATCAGGTAATGTAGAGCTGGGTGGTATAGAATTACGTGGTGTAGAACTAGGTGGTGTAGAACTGGGAAGTGGGTTACACCACTAGGTGGTGTAAAACCGGCAGGAATCTCCATCTTCCTGGTTGCAACTAATAATCCTGATTACTGCCATACAAAAACTCTTTACACTGTTCCTCCTGAGCTTCGGCTTTTTAAGTTTGACGTATTCAGCCAGGTGACATTTCTGCCTTCTTTCAAGCTGTCACCTGAATTCATGTGTGAGAAAAATCAGTCATTACTTTAATCAAAGCTAAGAAAGCACACACTCAAATAATTATTATAGTAGTATGAACCACCAATAATGTTCATTATGGAAGAGAATAACCAACCCTGAGCATCCTTGTCACAAGACTGTCTCAGAAAAACAGTATCTTCAGTCAGAGGTTGTAACACAGGCTGCTACAGGAAATGCTTCCTGCTCACAGCCGTCAGCATCAACAACTCTTTCAAGAGACTTGAAATAATGAGATAAACATTAGAAACTAGACCACTCTGATATACAGCACTTATGAGGAGCTAATGACTGTTCTTGCTGAATTGTTTTCAAATACTCAAAATCTAGATGCTGCCACAAGATGGCAGTAATAGATAACTAAACTTGAAATAATTGTCTTTGAAAAATACTGAAGAATATATGTAGCAACATTCAGAAAATTTTAATATCAGTATGAGCATATTTGGTTCAGATTGAACAACTGGGTGGTACTTGATTGTCATGTAGAACCGGGTGTTGTAGAAACATGTGGTGTAGAACTGGGTGGTGTAGATCTGGGTGGTGTAGATCTGGGAGGTGTAGATCTGGGTGGTGTAGATCTGGGAGGTGGGTTACACCACTAGGTGGTGTAAAACCGGCAGGTGTCTCCATCTCCTGGTTCTAGTCAGAACTCCAGGAGCAGCATTCTGGTTTATTGCTATATTTTGAATTGATCCTATCCCAAACAGGGTTATAGAACTGAGCCTGGAAATCACTGACTGTTTACAGGATTACATAAACAGTTGATGGTTAACCAGCCATAATCAACCCACCTCTGTCCCTTCTCCAACTCTAAGCACCCGGCTCCTTCAGGCTTCCATCCATTCTCTGACCTCTACCACCAGTGAATGGGGAGAAGACCTCTTAAATCGTCATTGCAAACTGCTTGTCCAAGCTTATCGCAGTCCACAGCACTGTCTTTTGCTGGTGTTCGAGCACCAAAGAACTTTAATTCTTTCATGTCAATAAAACTTCTTAATTCCATTTTGTTGGTGGGTTTGTGAATCTCTAGGTTGGATTGACTGCTGTTGCAGAGATACCTCACCTGCGAGGAAAACTCTCCAGCAGGGTTTCAGGATTTGGGCTGAAACTTCACTCATAATCACCAGAACATAAAGCAGCGCTACATGACTCATCATCATGACCTCGACAGGAAATGAAGAAAAACAAACACAACTTCTATGATGTTAAAAATAACAGTTTATTTCCTGTTTAATACAGACAATATAGCTATCAGATAGCCTAGCTTCAGCTGAGGCTATTATGGGTGGTTATATAGAGGCAATTTACTTCTGATAACTATGAGAAACCAAAACATGTTTATTTTAAAAAGAAACATTCTAATATCTAATGGGGAATAACTCTTCTTTCCAGTTGATGCAGAACTTTCGGCTCAGAACCAAATCTTTGTTGCAGTTCCTGTTTTCAAAAATGTTATCAGAAGTAAATTGCCTTTACATAGCCATCCATCACAGGTAAGCAATCACATCTTGTTTTATTTAAAGAAATTAAATGTCTAAGTCGACCATTTTTGATAATGCACTTCTTAAACGTATTGATGTTTTCAGTAATGTAATATTTTATTTACAAACAAACAGCTTAAATCCAAACAGAAATCTAAGGCTTGGTTCACAATGCAGCCTGAACTGTCCCAATTCCAATCTTTTTGAAGTAACGCCACCTGTATCCGATCTTTTCATGACAGTCTGAAGAACAAAGGTCGGATTCTTTTTGAATGCAACCCTGGCCACTTGGGTATCCCATACGTATCTGATTCAAACGCGACCTAATATCCAGGTTGCATTTATCCCACCTGAATGTCACTGATACTTGCCAAACGTCATTATTCTGCATCCTGATACACAAGCGGGAAGACTAACAACAAACATGGCGGCCTATGAGGATTAAGTTGTTAATATGCTGCAGATGTGTAAGCTATGCTCCACTGTTAGCATACATGTTTGCTTCCCCCAAACACTGAGCACTTCTTCTTTTCATAGAGGTTGGGAGAAGACTGAGAACGCAGGCATTATTGCGCCCTCTGCTGGGCAATTGGGACACTTCCAGGTCATTTGCACGGGTCAATTCAAGCTGCAGTGTAAACACAGCCTAATAAATCATTCACAAAAAGTGTCAGAATACTTCTTGGCTGCGTTCACATTGCAGCTTGAAGTGACCCAATTCTGATTTGTATTATCATGGCCATTTCCACTGCTGTTTCCATAACTGTTATTTAAAATGTGTTTTTTCTTCATTTCCTGTCTGAGGGTATGATGAACAGTAAGGTAGCGCTCCTTTATGTCCTGATCATTATGAGTGGACGATTGGCCCAAAGCCTGAAACCCCGCCGGAGCATTTCCTTCTCAGGTGAGGCATCTCTGCAGCACCTTTGAAATGTCCAGATCAATGCAGAAGTATTCACACCCTGTCGACAAAAATGCTTTCTACGTTTTTTATTCTAATCTCAAAGTGAAATACAGGGAGTAAACTAAACTCAGAAGTCTCGAATTGATAGTCCGAGTCCATGTGTGTCAATGTCAAAACATTGAGAATGGCATACAGTAACGTCACACTGAGGTAAATATCTGATTTGTACAGTAGCCTGAGGATGCCGGTTGGATTTGTTCCCTCAGATGTTAAGCTGAAGCTGTTTAAGGAGCCTGACTTTAATGGTTTGAGCTCCCTGCTGGTGAGAGAAGACATCGGTCTGCTCTTCATCGGAGCCAGAGAAAAAGTCATCACGCTCCGTTTGGATGACATCACTGAAAAGACCGGCGAGGTAGGAACTGGGCTTGGGTGGAACGGGTTTGCGAACCTGAACAGTGCACACAATACTTAGGGATACTGGAGGGTGCCATTGGTTAAGTAATGAGTCGTCTGTTGTAACAGCAAAAAATTATATCAACACTTAACAATTATGGAAGTGATGCAATAAACAATTTAGTTCTACCTAGCACAACAATTCACTGAATATCTTCATACTTCATAATTAGAAAAATAACCCTTTTAGATCCCCAGTAGAGGATTAAATGTTGACTCTTTATCGATATTTATATAGTTTGTTCATAGGAAGCATTATAATGTCATAACCTTTGTCTCAATAACATCTTCAGGGATTTTGGAGTTGCTCATTCACTGCTACACAGAAAGCAGTGAGGGGCAGGTTTATGTGCTTTCCAGCCACATAGTACAATTTTATAACACAATTAAGTGATTATGTACTTTGGTTATTTTAAAAATGTTGTATATATTTCAAACATAACTTTAAAAAATTGGACTTTGCAACTGAATTTTTTTGCCAATGAATGGAGCAAACAAATTAACGTCCTGATCTGTTTTGTTTCAGATTGAATGGAGAGTGACCTCTGGAGAAAAATCTGCATGCGTGTTAAAAGGCAAGAGCAAAGAGGTACATTTGAGCACATTCACATGAGAAAATATTTTCTTAAAATGTTTTTGGAGAAACAGCGGTTCTTCTAACAGGACTGTGAAAATTACATCACGACACTGCACACTCTGAATGACAGCAGAATCTTCACGTGTGGAACCCGGGCATTCAAACCTCTGTGCACACACCTGGTAGGTTCCTCTCATAATGCAGGCCCCAGGGACACAAAGGCAAAAGCTTTTTGTCATCCAGGATGTGGATCCACAGATTCACTGTACTTCATTTCAGCTGGGAAAATTTATACACATCCATGAGGCACCCAACACATATACATGAGGCGCAACATCATTTTAAACCAGGAAGCAGCACTGAGGTTTCTGTTTTACAATATCACTACATAGCGACACCTAATTGGCAAATTGTACAGGCATATTTACTGCACCCTTTTGTATGATGCTGCACCATGTCATGTGGACACACATTTATATTCATC